AGTTCAATAGACAATTTAATAGGATCTAGACGTTCAACAACCTCCTTTCGAATTGTATCATACAAATTACAGTGAAGAAGAAAATGCTCTATTGTTTCCTTGCTACCGTCACCACAGGAACACAACGGCGAATTGATGCAACCCCGTTCATATAAATAGAAATTCAGCTGCGGAAAATTACATCGCTGGAATATTATAACTTTACATTCGATAAATTTTTATACGATTTAGGCCGCTTTAAACAATCAATGGTATCTTCAAAAAGCGTAGAAAATATGATGATTATACGTGATTACATCTCAAGAATTATTAGGAAAAAACTACCTGTGTATGCGATAAGGAAAAAGAGACTTCAGTAATGATTAGTTATTAATCTACCCATAAAGTAATTTTGTGGAAAGTTTCAATGCGTTCGAAGGAAAATTTATGAAATAATGAGCTTCAACGCGCTAAAAACAAAATTGTTACCCGTTCTAACGTAGTTTCACTTTTCTACTTGTGAGAACGGTCTCGATTCTTTATTTCACTAACAGAAATAAAAGTTACAAAAAACTATGTATTATAACCAAGCTAATAATTGCCACGTATACGTTTTTTTGAAATGTGGATATTTTTAACTAGAATGAACTTCTTTTAACAGCTCAGCATTTTATAAAACATGTATATGCAAATCTATACAATTTATATTGTTCATATTCATATTTAGCGTTTCAGTCAGATTTTATCGAAAAACATATATGGCACACATCTGATGCGTCAAGAGACGCGTGCGCGTGCGAGAGAGAGTGATTTTTTGTTGATGATTCGAATCTCACAATAAGTCTAGTTGCTACTAATGGTCCAGACACCTATATGATAATGATCTTTATAGCAAGATATGCTAAAGAGGATGCAAATCTTTTTAGACCAGATAATAATCCTCTAATCAATACTTTTCGTCTCAAATACGGCGCAGAGATAGTATGCTTCACAAAAATTCCATGGGGCACAAAACGGTCGAATGGGGACATTTGAAAATTCTGATATGTATTTTTCTACGCAATGCTTTTTTTTAATTACTGATCAGAGAAAAAGAATATAATAAAGTTCAAAGTATCTCAGATGCACTGCAATGCTCCTATTATGCTAAAACATATCTTATTGCGTTAGGTAACTGTTAGGATGATGGATACAGAGAATCTACACGAAGTATGCACTTCTGCTCTTGATTTCATTCGAGCATCTAAAAGAGTCTCAACTAGATGTTTTAATGTTTATTTGGGGTATCACTTGGATGGGTTTTGGTTCTTTTCTCAGTTCTTTTTCTCCATGTGTTTGAATTCGTTTTGTTGTTTATTAGCAAAGTTTGATTAAAAGAAATTTTTCTTGAACATTCGTGAGTTTATTAGACAAGGAATCTGAATTAGTGCTTACGTTTTTGCTGTAGGATAATTTGTGTGTAAATGAAAAGGGATATGAGCACAATTATTTGCAATCGTACGATGATGAGAAATTTTTTCTATCTAATGTTGTTATTTTTTTGTTACGTTATGTTCGTACATCAATGTACCTGCAGGTAGAAAAGAATAGTCTTTGTCCTTTCTTTCTTTTTCTTCAATAAAAAAACGAATCAAAAGCAAAAAACAAACCGTAGTGTTACATTAAGTTTATTTATTCAACACTACTAGTGTAGGACAAATAAAATACCTCGAAGAAAACAAAGAGAGAAAAGAAAAAAGATGGTATAGTCAAAGACTCGAAATACACACAGACGAACACAATTGTGAAACAAAATTCTTTTCTTTCTATTTTGTGATCTAGAAAAGAAAGGTTAGATAATAAAAAGAAAAATACTTGAAGAGAAAAAATCGCACACTAGAACTGCAACAAAAATCGTTTCTTTTCTTTCGAAATGAAATTTTATTCTTTCTGACGTGTTTTTTTCCGTTATATAGTGTGAAATAAACGAAACACAGTGTTTTTTTCTTTTCTGTGCATGTTTCCGCTCGTTGCCTTGATACACAAATCTACTGAAAAATAACGTGAAGAGAGGAGAACGAAGAATTCTTCGTTCTCTGTTTGCGTTGCGTTCACAGTGTCTTTTTGTGTAAAGAGAACGAATGGAGAACATACGCACAGAAAAGGAAAATAGCGTGTTTCATATATTTCACACTATATAACAGACAAAAAACGTTAGAAAGAAAAAAAAATTTCAAAAGAAAAGAAATTGTCTCGTTCAGTTTAAAACAAAATCTTGTGTTTGCTGTATAAATTCTTCACAGTGATTTTTTAAAAAATCGAAACGTTGAAAATTGAAAATGATTAAAACCGCTGCTTTAGTTATACTTTTCTTAATGAAAACTCTACCAATTACAAACAAAAATATAAACTTTTCGAGGTGCAGCTAGCTTAACCGAATCGAAAACTGTGTTACCTAGCTTCAACCGTCCGATTCTAGCTCCATTCTTTTTGCCTGGGTAGAATAAATCAGTGTTGTGAATCATTTGCCTGATGGGATTATAAGTAACTTTCTCGTAGGCATCAGTTTTCGCCATATACTCATCAGATTTCTTATCATGTATCTCTGGTCTGTGCGGTGGCGGCGTAAAGAAGTTAAAGCAGGGAAATGATAGTTTCAAAAATCCAAGCAAGTTAAAGATTTTCTGGCAAGTTTGATAAAGTAAAAGAAATAATACAAAATTCGCCATTTTTTCTTTTCAAGAAAACAATGGTCTTGGTTCGTTTTAGTCACTAGGAATCAGCTAATAAATGCTGAAGAATTGATCTATTGAATAATCATTTTATCTCTCTGATCAATTTTTACTTTCGAATTAAATGCAACCAAGATTTAACAACAGCAAAAATCCACAAAATAAACAGTAAAAAAAGACATAATACCGACAAAAATTTTCATGCTATAATGACAAAAAAAAACATGCAAATTTCAAAACAAAACTTGTTAATTTGTTCGCATATTATATATGCTGTACAAAAGCTATTTTATCTGTTTAAATATCATTAAATATGTCAATATCTGGACTGTCTTGGCTGTTGTTCATGTTCATTGAACTAATATCCACAATATTTTTGTTATTGTCAGTCAATCTTAATGCTGCTTTGCATCTAAAAATGTGACAAATAATAGTTTGAATGATATAATATCATAGAGGGTAGAGAAACCAAAGTGTGACTTACTTTTCTTGACTTCTCTTTGTACGCTCTTGAGCGTGCAAACTTTCACGTCCTTTTGTTGACATAAATTCGTCAACCAAATATGGATCATGTGAAAAATACGATGTGGTCAAACATTCTATAATAGATAAATATACGCGAAATATAAATATGCGAAAGAAAAATCCTTATACTGTACTGTTTTGTATAGCAGGAGGCAATAATATTTGGTTTTTCATACAGTAGGTATACTAACGATGTTAATTAATCAAAAAAGGTACCACCTAGTTTTGAGAACCTTTTAATCATCCGCTCGGAAAATTAAACTAAATCTGTTTCTGTTCAGAAAACGATTTGATATTTACTCTATCAAGCGAACAAATTTTAGAATAAAATCACTGCAGAAAATAATGCTCAACACTATCAGTTTCATAAAACCGAAATAATACCTTTAATCTTATCTAATCTTTCATCACCATCTGTTCGCTGTAGCTGTGGTACTCTGCTTTTTATTTCTTCAGCAGTATACATTTTGCGCACTGGATAACATAAGTAAGTTGCAGGCAAAGCTGTGCGTGGTTTTTCAAGTAAATTCTGATTATTCCATAACTGCAATAAAGATTCATTTATTAAAGCAAATAAAAATAAATTTAGAAAAATAAAGATCTATTCACAATTGGATTTGGTTTTGATTTTGGCTTTGTAGTTAGAAAATCCTGAAATTCAATAAAAAAAATAAGTATGAGTCAACAATAAATAATATTTTCACATATATATCTACAACGTACGCATGATATGTTTACAGATATTACATCTATTGTTTAACACAGAATCAGTTGGAAAGAAATACTTACGATTCAAAATTTTAGACTTATAGAAATTCAGTAATTATAAATATAAGATAAATATGCCAACCTAGTTGTTGTCAACGCATAACTATTAACAAAACTTGTCTAAATTTGGTGATCCTGTTTTATACACCACACAAAATTCCCGACTGTTAGTATTAAAAGACGCGACTAGCACATTAAAATTAAACATTATACCTGTTCATTTCTCGTTGAAGTAAGTGCAATTTTCGGTACTTTGTCAGTTTTGGATTGTAATGTTTGCATCTCTTTTTCTAGCATGCTACATCGTTCAACAAGCATATCGAGTGCGTTTTGATTGATAGTAACAAGATGAGCAGGACGGATATTTTCGTCGACCAAATCAACAGGTTCTGCATCCAGCTCGGATGCATAAGACATACCACCTGCACGATACAAGAAAAAATTATTTTATGTTTAAATTATGTAATATAATTACCTTCACGACGATTGACAGTATAAGGTGATGCATGTTGTTGGTTGTAGGAAGGACCATATGTATGTGGTTGATCTATAAATATGAAATCGATTGTTTACGTATAAAGATATACATATGCTTTCTTCATAGCTCATATATCAAATAAACTTCTTCATCATAAGAAATTCTTCATTCTAATGTAAAGAAATCTACCACTTCTCTCTAAGAATATACATGCATTATAATTTCATTCTGATATTGTATTTTTTCTTGGTTCCAAATACATTGAGAGAGACAGCACACTTACTGTGTCCTTAAGAAGAACGAACAGGTGCAAAGTAACTGGTGGTTTGAGTACACGGTTGACGAATAGATAAAGATTGATACTGAGTTGAAGATTGATGTTGAGGTGAAAGTTGACGTTGATATGAAGCTGTTGTTGCAACAATGCGCTGAGAAGCATTGCTTTTTGAGATGATGCTCGTAGGCATTTTCTAAAAAGTTTAATGATCAAAAGCTAAGAAGATATAGCTTAACTGAATTTGTACTAGTTGGCAATTATGGATAAAGAAGATAACAAGATAGTAAAAACTATCCACACGTTCAGACCAAAGAGGTACATATTCATCTACAGGAAAAGCAGAAGAAAAATGATGAGATTCAGAACATGGATGAGAATAAAGAAACAAAATAATTCGTCTTGATGGGAGAAAAAAAAGACAATTTCGCCAAAACGTTTTTTTTGGGGCAGTTAAGGTGCGCGCAATTCAAAAATCCAGTTTTGTATTTCCTCTACAATCTAATTCAATGTGTGTGTTAATAACCGTAAGGTGCGCGCAATTCAAAAATCGAGCACTATCTCATTTTTTGGTCGAAAGCTACATATTCAGATACTCTTGAATG